CCCTCAATATGTACCGCCCAGTCGTGGGATGAATCCCACCAGGTTTCCGTTAGCCCCACTAAGTCATAAGTGTTTAGTGCAAGCAGGAGCGCTAGTTCATCCTGCTTGTTTCCCATGCTCCTAGCATTAGTATATAGGCACTTGAGCCCTGCGACAGGTGCCTTTGCTGCCCCCCTGCTCCAAGTCCCAAAGGGCCCCTTATTTCTTACCTTCTCGTTTCTTACTTGTGCCGTATTGCTGGCCGCCCCACGTCTTGCACGTTCCCAATGTTCTCTTTCTTCAGGCTGGGCTGTCCTTGTGGGTGCCACATGGTTTGGTGGTCCACAGCTTCCCCCACCCTCATCTTCCCCTCCCCCCGGCGAGCCTAGTTTAAAGCCCGCTGGAGGAGATCCACCATCCTAGAAGAAAACACACGCTTACCTTTGGGGGACAGGTGAAGCCCATCCCAACTGAGCATGTCCCTCGTCGATGTAGATCTTTAGGGTAGTTAGCACTGTCTAGGAATTTATACCAATTTGGGGTGGCCTTCGTACTGCTTGCCTGGTTCCCATATTTTCCTTGATTCTGCTGAGGAGGTGACATGAAGCTGTCTAAAATGATGACCCTATGCAGAAATGCCAGCAGTTGGCATGTGGCAGGGACCTGTAGTAGTTGATGAAAATATATGAGTTTTCCACAGGAAACAGGAGGAGGCAGCAGCTTCATCAAACAGAAATATCTCTGAACTCTCTCATTTATACTCTACACTTCTTCTGCATGCTCATTGAAACTCTTAGATGTGGCTGGATGCTGGTTCTGATATTTTTGTGCATCCCATAAGCTGTTAATGTGACCTTTTCCTTGGCAACACTCCTTATGGGATCCTGTCTTCTACCTTGCAGGGACATCCTAGTAACTTGCACCATATCATGGCAACAAATGTTCAGATGTCAATCATCCGAAGCAGTGCTCCCGGGCCACCTCTGCACATTGGAGCATCTCACTTGCCCCGAGGTAAAGTCACCATTAGCAACAATAATAATGGCTCTAGTACATAGATACACAGAGGCTGGGTTTATACTTCTTTCCATTAAAATATTTACACGGGTACCACTTAAGCTATTGAGACTGGCATTGTAGGCAAGGCCTCAGTTGGCTGCTAGCATTTTGAGCACTGGGTTTTTTTAAACCTCTCAGATTGGGCTGCATGACAGTACTTACAATGCTGGCACCCATCAGCACCTCTTCTGCTCTAGCATGATAGTTTCAAAGCAGTGAAATACTTCAGGGAAACCATTCCTAGTTGAAAAAGGCCTGTTGCCCACAGTGTTGGTGCTCATTCAGAGCAGTACCTACACAGCTAGCAACTATGCTTTACTATGCCTTGCCATTTCTTTTATGCCCATCCTTCACAATATCACCCTAATGCCTTACCATACATTTTACTGTATTATGTTTTAGGTCCTCATACTTCTGACTTGAGCTAAGTGTTCTCACTAGCTCTGGAATCTCTTGTCTCTTCCCTGGTTTCAGCTGTTGTGATTTGTAAAGTGGGATATCAGTCCTTTGATAAGGAGAGGCCAGGTCAGTTAATGCAAGAGCACTTTGAGGAATGGCTTAAGTCTATCTGGCTTCTGGTAGGTTTACATTCATGAATTGGATTTCCAGTCTGATAAAATCAGACTAGACTAGAAAAGCATCCATCAAAATTTCATTCACATCCCTTTTTTCTCTATACTCACAAGAAACAATGTGTGTGCGCTTAGATCACAAGTGTTATGCAGTTTTAAAAAAACCCTAACATTTTCACAAATCCCAGGCTAACATTAAGATTGTGACTATTTTTATAGTCGTTCAGACAGGCCTGAAGTTCTGAACAGAAAACACACTATGCATTCTTTGCTTTTGGTAACCTTATTTTTATGCACATAGCGTGTTTCCATAGGCAAAACTGTCCTTCATCAGAGTAGATGGAAAGAATGTGTAGCTGTATGTGTGGTTTTGAACAGCATTTGTTTGTGTCCATTTGAGCTGTGGAGTGGGGATGGAGACGCACTTTGTCCCGAATTTTCCTTTGTATTTTCATTATTCTTCTGATTTCTGATGTCTTTTCCAAATTTGGTTCCATTAACTTACACTGCCTATGGAATATTTGCTCTTAAGTGAACTCTAGAGAAATTTTATCCTTCTGTTCTGTCAAATGATTTGAAGACCTCATATTGTTTATGGTGAATCATCATGTTTGTGATCTTCTTGCAAACAGGGTTAGATGATTCTTTTTCTGTAGGATAAAATTGCTATTGAAATGCTAGAATCAATAGAAGCAGGTTTTTCACATTACAGATGTCTCATTAGTTTGGCACAGCAAACTGGGCAAATTGCTGAACTGTAGGCATGGATTGTACTGTGATAGTTTAGTTTAAAAATATCTTTCATTTATTGTTCATTCACGTTTTTCCCCTGCACTGTAGCAAATGCAGGGAGGCTTATATTATCAGCAGACTTCTTTCGTACACACCAGTCTAATATTCGGGCTACTTGGAGTACTCCTACTCACTTAATTTCCATTGTTTGAAATAGAAAAGGCTGGGATTTATAAAAGAACAGTATATGCATAAGAAATGGGACAGTAAAGCAGATGGTTTAAATGGGGAAAAAAGCCTGGAATCCTTCCAGCATCTCAAGTTTTTTATTGTAAAACTTTTGAGCAATGTCACTTGAATAAAAATTGAATGTTTAAAATGAAGCAAATCCTGCAGTCCCTCTGCTGTAGTCCCCATTGAATCATTTGGACATATTGTGTGCTAGCAAATTTGCTTTTTTGCTCAGGTGCGGCAGCTGCTGCAGTGATGTCCAGCTCTAAGGTGACAACAGTCTTGAGGCCAGCTTCCCAGTTGCAAAATGCAGCTACAGCTCAGCCAGCTGTTCAGCACATCATTCACCAACCAATCCAGGCAAGTAGCAGTTGCGCTGTATTGCAGACAGTAGTACTGTTCATCCAGAGCTCTTCCTGGCTTTAAGGGTCATCCATCCAGAATGTAGTTTGCAATTTGGTATTTAGTGGATTGGGGGGCTAGGGCAGCTGTTCCTCTTGATTCTGTTCCTTATAATCCAGTGTCATGGTGCTTGCATTGGAACCATCATGCAAAAAGTTCTAGAGTCATCTTTAGACTTGTTGGGTGGGAAATTTGACATGTACCCAAAATGCTTAAGGCTTGTGGAGGAATCCTTATCTAGGTGTATATTTAAAGCCCTAGAACCCTGGCATGGTATTGTACTTTTTAATTTATACTTTACTTATAAATTGACTTGAGCCAAATACTAGACCAGAAAATATTTCTGAAATGTCTGTTCATATAAATTTCAACCCAGATACATGTGTATGAGAAGAATGTGTGTTATGGAGGTGCCTGTGCAGCTCCATTATTAGGATTGGATCAAAGCTCAGGGTTAAAGCAAATCTAAAATCCCCACATTTTACATTGGACAGGGTAAAATATGTTGGAGGGTTCCAGTTAAATCTCCTTTGCAAGTCTGTTGGTAGAGCAGATTATTTTTGGTAATCGTGAATGGAAATTGTTGGTGTTAAAGGATATTATCTAACAATCTTAAAGTTCACTGCATCATTGAAACAATTTTAACATAACTGGTCCTCTGGTTGGTTTTGATCACTGACTGCTGCTTATGCTTGTGCTGTGGAAGTCTGATCATAGCTTCTTTGGAGCTCACAGAAGACAGAAGGACTGGGGAACATCTTAGAGCAGGGGTTGGCAACCTATAGTACATGGGCCATATGTAAATCATGGATATGGATCTTCAGGGGTATTTGGTGGTGGGGACTTTGACTGCGGGTGCTCTCCTCATGCCACTGCAAAGACAAGTGTCAGCAGGGTCCTAGAACCCACCCATCCTGCTGCCTCTGACCTGAGGTGGGTTATTCTGGCTCACAGCTGGAAAAGGTTGCCTATCCCTGTCTTAAACTTCCAGAACTTTATGCTGAGACACAGAAAAATTGGTTTTAGAAAAATATTTCTCAGCTTCTGCCTCTAAATTGTTTCATTGCGAATGGAGAGGCAGGTATTTTTGTGGGTGATAGCTTTAATTGGACCAAATGCGCAGACCCCTTTTGCACACATCAGTCTAATATTCAGGTTTAGACAAGCTTTCGAATGCAGTGCATTCTTTAGGTTATCTTAAAGTTCATTTTCAGGTCATCATCATGAATGTCTTTCATTCTGCTCACTAGTCTCGTCCTCCTGTAACAACTTCAAGCACGATCCCTCCTGCTGTAGTAGCAACAGTCTCGGCCACAAGAGCTCAGTCTCCAGTTATTACTACAACAGCAGCACATGCTACGGAGTCAACCCTCAGGTAAACTCTAAGAAGAGTGCCTTGCCGGGCCCTAAAATGTCATACGTTCTCATAGACAGTATATGGTTGCTGGTATTCAGAATTGATACTGTTATGAATAGGAGATGATGGGCTGGAGTTGAAGAGATTTTTTTCATCATGGTCCATTTGATCTCATAACTGAATGAGTCAAGTAACTGAGGTTCTGTTGTCAGTGGCAGAGCTAAATTACTTTGTAATACTAGGCAAGTCACTAAACTTTTGTAGTAGTTTACTCAACTATAAAACAAGAATGATAAGTCCTGTAACGTGTTCTGTAAATGTAAAGGACTTAAATGGTAAGCATTATTTTCTATTCTGGGTGAAGAACATCTAACCAGTAGTTCACTGACTGCCTTGTTTCTCAAGCTGTTGAGTTTATTGGTTTGCTTTGGAAGCTTGTGACTAATTCAGTTCCATTTTCATATAGTTGTGTGTGTATGTACACGATATATCTGTATGAATATTAAAGTATTCTAAATGCCTCTTGTGGAAAAATGTAGCTTGTTTCTCTGACATAAATGGCGGTGTTCTTCCAGTTAGGGATATGTAAATGTGCACTGATAATAATAAAGCACTCACTTTTACAATTGTTATCACTGTGTTAACATGCACCTGATAGGAATGTAGCCCTTGAAGAGGAGTGGATTGGGGCCGATACCTCCCTTCACCTCTGGTCTGTTTAGTGTCCAGAAACTTAAACCATTGTTACTCCTCTGAGGACATACTTCTCTTTTTCTAGTCGGCCAACTCTGTCTATCCAGCAACATCCACCTTCTGCACCTATTAGTATTCAGCGCCCTGCACAGCCACGGGACACGGCAACTCGGATCACCCTACCTTCTCACCCAGCTATAGGGACACAGAAACAACAGCTCCACACTATGGCTCAGGTGAGTGTCAAGAGATAAGACAAGAAGAGTTCCTTTCATACTGCTTTCCAAAATCCAGCCGTGACAGCTTGATGTCCCAGTGTAAATTCAGGACAGAATTTCAGGTTGGCGGTATGTTCTTTAGAATTGATTTTAAATCCATCAAATGTAAAATGTACTTCTGAATTATTTTCTGTCTAGAAAACCATCTTTAGTACTGGTACTCCAGTGGCAGCAGCAACAGTGGCACCTATTTTGGCAACCAATACCATTGCCTCAGCCACCACAGCAGGTGACTATTCCTTTTTTTTCCCCTTACTTCTTTGAAAAGATGAAACCTGACTATGGACGGCAGAACATCTTTGTTTTTTCCTTACTAATCCTGTCCTTAGTTAGGATGGGGGATGTGTTTTGTGGGGGAAGGGGGATGCCTGGGTAGAAACTGGTATATGTTGGTTTGTTCATTTTCCCTTTCTCAGATTAGGCTGACGTAGCAGCAGAGAAATCTGAAGTGTGTCTTTATCTTTCAGGTTCTGTCTCTCACACCCAAGCACCTACAAGTACCATTGTCACCATGACAATGCCCTCCCACTCTTCCCACGCCACTGCTGTAACCACATCAAACATCCCTGTTGGTGAGTGAGTACAGTTGTAAATGGAATGTGTGTAATTCAGCTGACATCTTTATGTACATGCACATCCTGTGTGGTCTGGGTGCATCTGTGCATACCTGCAAACCAAGTAAGAGAGCGGATCAGTTCACATGGGGGAAAACAAAGCATAGATTTAATGTGGCATAATATTTACTTTTAAGTTAAAAGTTAAAGTTTAATTATTAGTTTCTTCACGTGGGTCCTTATTACACAGACTTCCTGTGGTTCACATCTTGTAGCTTGATTGCAAGGGCCATAAATGTGTCCACCTTGTTTCAATGACAGAGTAAAGGAGGAACCTTACTGTTGCTACAGATTTTGGCTGGAGCACAGTCCCATTTGGCTAGTGTGCATATTCAAGAGTAGATAACTTAGCAAAGCTTGTCCCTTAGCACTGCTGTGAAACTTGGCAGAGACATCTGTTTTCAACAGTACTGCTGACCTTCAGGTTAGAAAACTGCCTTCAGTTAAGTCTTTAGAAGTAATTGCTATAAACCTAGAGCACTGCAATTCTGTTATAGTTCTCAGCTAGTTTTATCCTAGAACCTATCTTGAAATGTAGCTGCCTATTTCTCTGTGCAGGGATGGAAAATAGTAATATGAGACGTTTCTTTCCTGAGGAATTGTTTATAACTGAGGCAAAATCTCAGCTTTTGAACAGCAAAAAATCCAGCATCCAGTATACCATTTCTTGTTTGCATTGTGGTCTCATATTTTACAAACAAAGAGGATGGTTATCAAGAAACATCAATAAATACCAAGTGTTAAATGAACAGCAGACTTTTTCCACATTCATTTTTGCCTTCGAATTTATTCCAAAATGTCTTTATTTTTATCTATTTATCTCTGGAGGGGGTTGTAGCTTTTTGAAAAGTCTTCCTGTCCCATAAAATTCTGGGAAGAGAAGAGCGCTCTTCACACACTAATGCTAGCTGGAGAGTTCCTTAGTTCCCCTGTATTTGGTTTGCCTTCTCAAAAGTTTGTCCCTTGCTTCCTTTTCCACCGTTTGGTCTTTCACTCTGTCCTGGTCTAGTCCTTTGAGCTTTTAGGGTGGGAAGAGGGGCATCCAGTTATGCAAAATTAACCAATTCAGGAATCAAGGTCGCTTAATTTGACCTAGAGCAGGGGCGTCAAGTGTAAGGCCCACAGGCTGAATCCAGCCCAGAGAGTTGGGTTGAGTCCAGGGGTTTCCAACCTTTTTAGGCTGAGGACCGACAAACCTCAGACTAGCAGTGACTGGTATACTCTGGGCAGGTAGCCAACCAGTCTGCAGCACGCCGGTCGGTCACTTCCAGTCCGCGGTTAGCCAGTCCACGGTCACTTCTGGTCCAGCAGCCAGCCCTCCCTGAGGACTGGCAGCTAACCCTTCGCAGCCCAGCACTGAGCCGTGGCCCAGGGATTGGGAACCCCTGATCTCGCCCACAGACTTTTGCCTTGACTTTGGCTATGACGGAGGACCTCTTTGTGGCAGCAGCCAAGTGCCTGGGCAATACCTGCTGCATTGTAGCCCCAACAGCCAGGCATCTGCAGGCTTCTTCTCATGGTGCTGCTGAGACTGAAGTGCTGCAACTTTTGCCCAGGCACTTTACTGCCACTACAGGAAGAAGCCATGGTGCTGTTGGCACTCCAGCTCCGCAGCTCATGCTGGCATGGCTGCCAAACACCTGAGCAAGACCAGCAGTGATAAAGCCCTCACAACACTAAGACATATGGCTTGTTTTCACAGGGCTGCCAAACATCCAGAATGCTGGGCCTCTTTCCTCTGGGACCTGGATTGGCTGGAGTGGGGAGTACTGGGAGCATGGAGTTGGGGGCAGGGTCCGTAGGTCCAGTCCAGCCTGCAAGGCTAGTCTTGCACCATTCATCCAACCTGTGGACTGTCCCACACCATTTTTGTAGCCCATGGGGCCAGACAAGTTTCATGTCTCCAACCTAGAGCATAACATATTTGTACATTTAGAGCCCAGAGAGCACTTACGATGAATCAGTAATAAAACAGAATTGTGTCTTGTCATGCTAACCCATCCTTCTGTGCTGTAGCATGATCAATAAAAGGGACACTAACCAGTTCAGCCACTTGTATTTCAAGCTTCCTTGCACAGTGGCTGTTGGCTTCTTTCTTTGGATGTGATTTGGTTCCTTATTTTTCTTTATGCAGCTAAGGTGGTTCCCCAGCAAATCACACACACGTCTCCCCGGATCCAGTCTGATTATACAGGAGAGAGAAGTAATCTTATACCCATATCTGGACACCGGGCATCTCCAAACCCAGTAGCAATGGAAACCAGAAATGACAACAGGTAGGAGGGAAGAATTCTGTGAGTGAGTAGTTAGGTCTTAGGGGACCTGGCTACTTCTGTGATTGACACTTGTAGTATATGCAAAGAAATGTGGCAAAACACCTTGGTGAGCTTAGCTAGCCAGAAGTGTCTCTACACAGTGGGAGTTGTAATTGCATTAACTGCATTGACAGAAGTCAATTGTCATGGTGCCCTGTGACCAGTGGGGTCCCCCAAGACTCTGTCCTTGGAACTGTATTGTTCAACATCTTCATTAATGATGTGGACATGTGAGTCAGAAACGGACTGGCCAAGTTCGCTGATGATACCGAAGTCTGAGGTAAAGCATCCACACCTGAGGACAGGAGGGCGATCCAGGCTGATCTTGACAGGCTCAGGAAATGGGCAGATGAGAACCTGTGTTGTTTAACACCGAAAAATGCAAGGTCCTCCACCTTGGGAGGAAAAACCTGCAGCATCCTTATAGGTTCAGCAATGCTACACTGACTAGCACAATGGATGAAAAGGACTTGGGGGTCATGATTGACCACAAGATGAATATGAGCCTTCAATGTGATGCTGCGGCTAGTAAAGTGAGCAAAACACTGGCTTGCATCCATAGATGCGTCTCAGGTAAATCCCGGGACATCATTCTCCCACTGTACTTGGCCTTGGTGAGGCTGCAGCTGGAGTATTGCGTCCAGTTTTGAACTCCACAATTCAAAAAGGATGTGGAGAAGCTTGAGAGAGGCCAGAGAAGAGCTGCACGAATGATCAGAGGTCAGGAAAACAGACATTATGACAACAGGCTGAGAGCTATGGGACTCTTTAACCTGGAAAAGCGCAGGGACTATCTGATGGCCACCTATAAGTTCATCAGGGGTGCTCACCAGGATCTGGGGGAACGATTGTTCACCAGAGTGCCCCAAGAGATGACAAGGTGGAACGGTTATAAACTCCAGCAAAACCATTTCAGACTGGACATAAGGAAGAATTTCTTTACTGTCTGAGCCCCCCAAAGTCTGGAATAGCCTGCCATCGGAGGTGGTTCAAGCACCCACATTGAATGCCTTCAAGAGAAATTTGGATGCTTATCTTGCTGGGATCCTATGACCAAAGCTGACTTCCTGCCCCTGGGGCAGGGGGCTGGACTTGATGATCTTCTGAGGTCCCTTCCAGCCCTAATGTCTATGAAACTATAGTGGCAGGACTGGGGCAGCTTGGCTCTATGGTGTGGGACAGCTCTTTTTGTGGAAGAAATCTTTCTGCTAGCAGAGCTCTGTCCATACCAGGGGTTTTGCCTTCAGAACTGTTTTACCTATGGGGATGATGTTTTCACACCTCTGCTCAGCATAGTTCTTCCAGCAGTATTCTGTATTCTAAATGTGGGCTAAAGTAATTGGGGTTAGTGAATGCTCATGCTGAGGGAGGTTGCAGAGGTCTGAAGATAGTTTGAACTCTGGGATTGAAGATGTGCATGCAGTTGTAGTGACTTACCTAACACTTGCTTTTTCTTGATATATTCAGGCAGTCGGTGCCTGTCCAGTTTCAGTACTTCTTACCAACGTATCCACCTTCTGCTTACCCTCTGGCTGCGCACACTTACACCCCCATCACCAGCTCTGTGTCCACCATCCGCCAATACCCTGGTAAGGAATTTGCATGCAGACAACTTTTTCAGGAGTAAAGGTCAGCCAGACCTGACTGCAGGCATAGGTGACAAGTGGTGGTGGGGGGAAGGGCTGGCATATGCCCCCTAGCTTTCAGTGCCAACAGTGAGGTGTGGGACTGCAGTCCGGCCAGGGCCTGGCAGCAGTGGGGGCAGTGGCGACACTATTTGCATGCTGACAGACGCGCTGTAGCCCAGCCAGAGCCAGCACCAGGCAGCAGCGGGGCTGGTGGCAGCAGCAGCACAGGGTTCTGCCCCCACCATTGTCAACACTTGCGTGTTGTCTATGATACTAGGTGCAAAAGGGCCCCAGAGGAAGAATTGCATTACACAAGGCAAACTGGCAGCTGAATAAAATCGGAGTATTTAGATGCCACTGCTGATTTCTTCCTTTCGTACAGTTTGCTAGCTTGAGCTCTAACAGTGGAATTGAGGGTATCTGCAGAAACAAAAGATTCTAGGTTTGCTAAACAAGTTGGGGTGCTTATGCAAATCAATACCTGATGTGTCTTCCAGCCATGTGTTCTAATGAGCCAGTTTAATTTTGGAATATTTCCACTCCCTTCATCCCGCATACATAAATAATGTTGCTGATAAAATTGCAAGTGCCCCAGGCTGTTTTTTTTCCTCTAGTGTCATGGAACTCAGTACAACAGCCACTACTGCGGATTTTGATGTTAAATTAAGTGTCCTTTACAGTAACCCCACACCTAGTTTTCAGTTTGTTGCAGACTTTGGTATTGTCACGGTATAAATAAATCATGAAAGTTGAAGGTGGGGGGCGAGAAACTGGAGGCTTCTTCAGCAGAGCAGGGAGTAGTGAGGATCTTATTTTTAGACTTGGATTCTACTCCATCCTTTTCTTCTCCATCTGCCTCTGCAAACACTCACAGATCTTTGCCTTCTCTCAACTGATGGCAGTCATTTTAGAGCTTGACCTAGTCTTAGTTTGCAGTTTTTTAACAATAAATGCTTCAGTATTGAACACCTAAAAACAAGTTTACTGAAAACTACTATTTTTTCTTGCATACAACATGCACCTTCCCCCAAAATCAGGTCCCCCACCACAATTGGGGCATGTGTATTAAGCAGGGAAGCTGTTTTTTTTTTTTTGCCTGGAATAGAAGGGCTTTGATTCCTGTTTCGCAAGGCAGTGGCTGATGTATTACTATGCAGCTGGCTAAGGGAGTCATTTGAGGTAATGGCACATTGTTCTTCATTCCATAGGTGTTAACAGTTGTCTCTCTCTTTTGAATCTTCTTGATGTTCAGTTAAGCTAATTTTTCTAAGGGTAATTCTGCTGTCTATCAGCTGCTCCTGGTCTCTCTCGTTTTTTTTCACAGTTTCAGCTCAGGCCCCCAACTCTGCCATCACAGCTCAGACTGGTGTAGGAGTGGCTTCCACTGTGCACCTTAATCCTATGCAACTGATGACTGTAGACGCATCTCATGCTATCAGTGCACAGGGGATACAGCCAGCACCTATCAGTGCACAGGGGATACAGCCAGCACCAATTGGAACACAGGGACTCCACCCAGCAGCATCTATTGGTGCTCAAGGACTCCAGCCTACACCAATCAGTGGTCAGCAGCCACAAACTGAAACAAAGACATCAGGTAACATGGCTTTAATCACTATCTCCCAGCTATGGACTGCTCAAAGCATCAACTGAACCCTGAAATAACACAGCCAATTTTTTGACTGACTGAAGTCCCTCCTAGGTTTTCTTGCCTCGTTTAATTCCTTGGCAAGGTACCCTTCTGATAGGGGATAACTTTTATGTTTCAATAGCACAAGTCTTCATAAAGTTTCAGTAGTAATCCCAGAAGTGGATATTAAATATTAATTATGCTAATATGTCCTCTCTCAGTAGAAATTTTTTTTGTTCCATTATTTAAAGACCAGAAGCAACCTGATTAGAACAAAATCTTTTTCAGTAATTTTTGCCTGAAGTTTAGGATTAGGCTGAGAATCCTAGGGTGCAGTTGAAAGTACTTCTATAGATGAAAACCCCAACAAGTCTCTGAACATGAATGATTCTCCTCAGTAAGTCCTTGTGAGAACAGGTAGTCACAAGTAGAATAATGTTGATAAAAACTACCCTAGACCACCAGCAGATTACAACAGCATTTAGAGAAGGGCTGCAAAATATCTCAAACAGTTAGTCACTTAGTCCTGGACTATTGCAGAAGGCCCTCATGCAAGATAAATCAGTCCTCTGACATCCCAAAAATTTGCTGACATGAAGCTATTTGACAGTCCACAGAACATGTAGTGATTTCATACAGCCGACAGACCACACATTGTGTGGTCCCTGCCTAAATACCCCAGATCATTGGTGGGCTGAGATGGTCAAATACGTGAGACCGAAGGTCAGGCTGTGGCACTGTCAGAATGCACCTTATATGTAGCTCAGTATATCTCAGCTAGGGTACCATGGCACCCTGGGGTGCCTTGAAGTCCTTTCTAGGTTGCCATAGGTTCATTACAGTATTAGCAGTTAGGTTTGCAAAAGTGTTTCATGAGATAAACCCAGAGATTTCAAACAACTTATAGTTTGATCTTTGCAACAGAAAACTTCTCTATTACTTTTTGTAGTCAAAAAAAGAATGAAAACTAAGAGCTGGCATTTTCCAGGGGGTGCTGTGAATCTATGCAGCAATGTCTCGAGTCTATCCAGGGATGTCCCAAGTCTTAAGATGTTGAGAACCACTAATACAGATGTTAGGCATTGGGTGTGGATTTTTTTGTACTAAGAAGCTGCGTCTGCATGAGGCGCTGACTGCGTAGTAGCCTGTGACTACTGTACAGTAGCATTGTGTGGTAGAAAGCGTGACATGACAGTACTGCACAATCAACATCTCGAGAAAGCTGTTTGTCAACACTACTGTGCTTTAACTCCAGTTACTATGCAGTCATTTTAATACTTGTTTATACAAGGACTAAATGTGTAACAACTGTGCAGTCAGCAGATTATGTAGATGCAGCCAGAGTGTCCCTGTAATGAAGTATTCACATCAGCAGTCTCTCCTGGCAAACTGCACCAGTTCCATTTCTCTTGGAAAGGTAGTTTTGCCTAGCAACAGTTGTTGGGAGTTGGCAATAGGGGGACTTCAGTCTTCTTCAAGGAAAGTTCAGTTGTCAGAGTGCTTTGAAGTATAGCTATCATTAACTAGGTGTTTGGAAAGCATTTCACTTAAAGATTAGGGGAGAGTTGGGAAGCAAGCTTAGCGCATATGCTTACCTTTCCATCAAATTTCCTATCAGAACTTCTGCTTCCCCCATCTTCTGCCTGGTGTATTCTCCCTCTGCCTCTATCTCACCAATTTTTATTTTTCCCAGCAGTAGTCTTGGCAGATGGAGCCACCATTGTGGCTAATCCAATTAGCAACACATTCAATTCAGCTCCAGCAGCAACAACAGTGGTGCAAACCCACAGCCAGAATGCTAGTGCTAGTGCACCAGCCCAGGGCTCTTCCCCACGCCCAAGCATTCTCCGGAAAAAACCAACCACAGATGGGTGAGTAGGACTGGAGTTGGCATGTAATAGCTCTTCTGCTCAGCCTAGTAGGAGAATCTCTTGTGTTTTCAGTGAATAGAAAAAGGCCCTGCAAGAGCAACCAGTGCAGGGTGTGTTACATGCCAGTCTCTATGGGAGGCACAGTTCATCTAGGTTACATTTTCACCTTTCCTTAACCCGTAATGCATCCTATTACAGACAACTGGATGGGACTGTTTGACTCCAGTTGTTGAAGGTGACATGCAAGCTTAAAAATTGATATGAATCCTTTTCTTGCTGCTTTAGGTTTAACAACGAAAAAAAACCCCAAAAGACTAAGGTTTTTAAAATTGGTTTTCAGGTGTTGGCCATGTACAGATGTTCATTTTATACCAGGAAAATTGCTGTTTCTCCCAGACTAAAAATGGCAGTTCTGGGAGAAAACTTGACTCTAAGGAGAGGGAGAAGTCAGCCCTGGGAGACGTTCTCCCAGGAGAATGAATATTTGTAGATTAACTCCCCTTGCTTCCCATGCCTTCTTCAGATTGTGATCCACTCTGGTTTTAGGAAGGCATGGGGAGTAGGGGTGACTGCAGACTGGACATGCTCCCTCTCACAGAAAGATTTCTATCAGTGTAAATTTCTCACAAATTTCAAACAGATGTTCATGGCCTTTGTCCCCTGCTTTTCCTGGAGAAGGGGTAACATGAAACATGCTACAAAAATTAAATCTTATTAACAAAGAGAGGAAAACAACTGTAGCATCAACCCCTTCCACATTTTTTCCTACCTTCTGTTAACTTCAAATGCTTGAAAGAACAGGAGAAAAACTTAGATTCAACAATCTGTTCCCTCCAATTAAGGAGTGAAAGATTTTGCCTTCAGTCTCCAAGACTTCCAGTGAGTCCTTCAGGATCAGGACTGAAATCCTGATATGTAATTTTTTTCAGGACTGAGAAAGTCAGACAATAAAAATGTAAATTAAAGAAACAAAAAATATATAACCAATAAGGCAGTTTCTTTATTTGTGGGTTGAATTTTAAAGATAGATTCTTTCCCAGAGTGGTGTTGATATTTTTAATGCTGGTAGAGTCTCAGATTTAAACCTTATTACAATGCAAAGTATTTTATAGTGATAGCCTCTAATTTGCCAAAATTAATAGATTACCTTGATAGAATTGTGATAAACCTTGGGGCTCTGCTTCTTTTCACATACAGCTGAAAGCAGTGTCAGTTCAAGGTTTGCTCAGCTTTGGCAGAGTAATGGAAGACTGTGTTGCCTTGCACTGGGGAGTCTCCTGTCCTCAGTTGGAGGCTGATGGCCTCAAAACAAAGTGCTGATCAATAAATTGAAAATAAAATTGGTAGGGATTCTTGCACTCTGTGGAGAAGTCCTCAAAATAGAGGGGAGGAGACTGATTGCTCTGGTTTACTCTCTTTAAGGCTTCTTTGAAGAATATTAGGAACAATTTCTTTCTTAAATTCATCAAAGCTTTACTAATTCATAGCCAAGTGGTGACAAATCAGGCAAAAAAATACTGTTTCATTTGCAACAGTAAGAAAAGGCAGGATCTCCTACCTGTGCTAATGTTTGTGTTACAAAGACCAGTATACCAAGCAGCAGCGTCATGTTTCTCTGTGTCTTACAGATTGGCAGTCCGGAAAAGTCTCATTCCTCCTCAGCCCCCTGAAGTAGCTAGTACCCGCGTGGAGAGCGCTATGCGGAGCACATCTGGATCGCCAAGACCTGCTGGGTAAGGATTTAAAACAACAGACTGCAAGACTTATGATGCGTCTCCTTTGTAATAAGTGCAGGCCAATGGAACTTAGGGTAGAGGTCAGCGTATGTCAAGTGACAAGCAAATGCTGCCTAATAGAAGTATAATAGAAACTTCTCAAATGAATAACTGTTGCAAAGTTACATTTTTAATCTGTTTAGTTGTATAAAATATGTTTGTTTTGTAATTTTCCTAAATGATCTTGCTGCATTAGTATCTCATTGGATTTTTATGGAAAATTATTTTAATATTGATTTCATGGTCCCAAGAAGAAAACTGTGTATTATCCTGTTTTTATCCCTTCCTCCACTCCAGATTTTATATCTGTATTCCAGGATTTGTATAATGAGATTACTCTCCTTCCACTGAGCATAATAAGTAACATCAAAATGTGTATTACTACAAAGAAACAGGACAAGTTTTTGGTGGAATAGCCCAAGAAATTGATCTCCTCCTTATCCCCTTTGAGATGTGTAATGTAAAGTAATATATATTTTGTTATATTTCATATGACTTGTATCATATCTGAATGCTTCTGAGTTAGGGACAAACACTGAAGTGAACCTTTAACCTTTAGCTTTCACAACCAATAAGGATGGGAAAAGTCAAAATAAGAGAAAATAAGATAGAAATGTTCATTTCTCCTCCCACAGTGCTCTGCTCTGCATGTTACTATGCTAGATATCATTTGCTTAGTCAAAAAATTAAGGTTTTCTGAAGGAGCTAACTTCAAAACTCAGCTGATTAATTTTAGAGACTTTGTATTGGAATGTCATGGCAGCAGTACTTAAGACCTTGAATTGATGTAACTATCTAATACTGTTTTTTATGTTCTAGTGCCAAGCCTAAGCCAGAAATCCATGTCTCTATGGCCACTCCAGTCACTGTGTCTATGGAGGCAGTGTCTAATCAGAGTGGTGAACAACCCACCATCGCAATCCCACCTACCTCTCAGCAGCCTCCATCTGCCATTCCAACAATTATTGCAGCAGCCAGTCCAACTTCTCAGCCCACAGCAACCCTGTCCACCATTCCAGGAGCAGTCGCAGCTGCTCCACCCACTTCTACCACAATTGTGGCTGTGCCTCCACCTCCGTCAACCATGAGTGGGGCCCTCTCCACGGTGTTGGGATCCCCAGTACCAGAGATAAAAATCAAAGAAGAAGTGGAGCCTATGGACATAATGCGACCAGTATCTGGTAGGCTTATTAAACTAAATGAAATTATTCCTCTGGGGGGACATGAGGGTTAGGATTTCACAAACCCAGCCTGAAAATTCAGTTTGTGGTCTAATTTTAAATAACTCTTAAAGGTTCTTTTCTGTTCCTGCTACCTTTCAACATAAGTCCAGAGTCTAGGATTTCATTTTGGATCTTCTAACATGTACAGGGTATAAAGTCGTGATGGGGCTAAGGTGAATAGAATGGAAATGGGAATCCTGTTGATAGATGCTTTTAATGAATATAGAACCTGTTCCTTGTTCATTGAAACAGGACATTGTAAGGGCTGCAAGCATGTACTATCTATCTTAAATGGTAAAGAGTTTGAAGAATAGACACTGGAACCATGTCCTTCAAAAGCTCACCCTACCGTACAAATAGGAATTGTATTTCTCTTTGGTTATTTTATATGGCAGCTGAAGAATAAAATCTGACTTAGAGCTATACAAAATAGACATGGAAATCCTTATGCAGAATTTTCTTCTTTGTACATGTGACATTTAAATTATTTTTCCCTGAACAGCTAAGGAATTGTACTGTCCCTGCTCTTCCCAATACAATATACTATTCAGTATGTTAATATGGATCCCGTTGTAGGTGCACAAGTGCCCTGTGTTTGAGACTGGATACTTTAAGCTGGTAATTGCCCTGACAGTTGTATTTGCACTCTGGGCTGCTTCATGTACTAAACAAAGGCATGAAGAACAGAGCAGCTGGAAGGAAAAAGGAGCTGCCTATAGCAGCAAGATGCAACCCTGACTCTGTTCAGCCTATTCTACCTGGCTGAGTCCCACATCCTCATCAGATGTTTGTTCTGCCTCTCATTCTCCACTCAGTCCTGGAGCAGTTTTTCAGACTCAGAAGATCTGAGCTCCAGGACCTCTACTAGTAATGTCTGTTCTGTTTCATTGCTTCATTAAGCAGGCAGGCAAGCAGTGCCCAAGGCCCCCACAGAGAAAGCAACATGGAGCAGAGAACCAACACTAGTGTGTCTGCTAGTGCTGTCCACAGTAAACGATACACAGGTGCCTTTATCAATGGTAGTACCCCAAACCTTGGAATGGAACCATGAGGTTCCAAACTGAGACTGGGACTCAAAGAAGAGTTGTGTCCCAGAGGAGAGAGACTGAAAGAGGAGAGAGACAGAAAGTGTAGGACATAAGCCCCCCAAGCCTTTTTTGACACGTAAGATGGACAAAAAGGTCAGTACCCGAAGGTGACTTCTTCAGCACTGCTCCTCAGAACTGGAAGAATTCGTACCAGAACTGTATCCATCCCCAAAGTGCACCTCAGTACCAGTGGAGATGCCTGCAGTTCTGGAGCCTGACCCATCAGTGCTGCCCTTGGGAGGGATACATCACTGAATTATACCTGCTCCTTTCGGCTGAATAGAGAGTCATCCCTATACACGTGATCAGTGATGCTGCTAAGAGACTTCAGGGACTCCTTGAGCCCTGCCAAAGTGTCAAAAAGGAATTGCAGTGGTCTGGCTACAGGTCTAGCAATCATTCATATGCTGACAGTATGCCACCCTCCCAGGCATCAAGAAAGCCATTCATCAAGGAAAGAGAAAAGGTTTCTCTCTGACAGCTGATGCCAGAGTCAAAGGGACCAAAAGCCAGAGACAAACTCATCAGTCTTCCTCAGTTCCAAAGGACCTTTCCTCTCTATCCTCTGATAAAGCAACAGTCACATTAGCATAGATTCTGATGCCAAATGATTTCAGTGTCACAAGAACTCCTAATCCAAATCACAGACATATTAGGAGTGAGACTTTCTTCATCTCTGGAAGAGCACTAACTATTTGATACTTTGTCTCAGTAGGGACAAGCGAGAACATCCTTCCCATAGACCTAATGAAATCTTCCTGACAAAACTGAAGCACCTTGATATCAACCATGAAATGCAAAGAGAAGATAACAGAAACCATCATATAAGTTCACAGTGCAGCTCTGGCTCTCAAGTAGGTTTGCCTAGTTTAGGTAAGAATGCACCAAAGGATAAGGACCTTGAGAGACTGGATCTGTTCAGAAAAAAAAAGTTCTGTTCTTTTGGCATCACTTCAGTTTTGAGTGGCAAACTGCCAAGCTGTCCTAGGCAAATAAGACTTTCTAACTTGGCAAGGTATTATCTCCGTGACATTGGAAAGCTTGAGGACACCATAAAGAAGGATCAACTGGTGGGGGGAAAAAACCCTTAAATCTGCAGTGGGTGCAGCAGGTAACACAGACTGATACATGATCATAAAAAAGACCCCAAGTGTTTTCCATCAGACGCTGGCACAATGCCATTTTATGGACTGGTGACGTTGGCTAAAAATTGATGATGTTATACTTCCTTACAATTCAAAAGCAACTCTAAAGTCTATCAGCATACCATGAAAAGTGGCTTGCCAAGGGATTGTACCCCAGCTTAACACTGGCAACTGCAATGCCACTAAAATAACTTCAGCTATATACATGCTCAGTTGATTGTCAATCAGTTTGACACTACACTCAAGAGGTATTCCAGCACCAGTCTTGCAAGCACTTCTCTTGAAAACCACCTTGCCTTGTTCCTCTAATCTGATAGAACAGAATGAAGATAAATGGATACTGAGCATAGTTGTCCTCAGTTATTCCATCCTCTGCTTCCTTCCCCATGCTTCTATTCCCTGTTTTTTTCACAGACTATTCTCATAAGAGCCTTTTACAAATAGAAGTGGTTAAGGAAAAATATTCCTCATTCAAGCACCATATGAACAAATTCATAACCATCCCACCAAATACTGGGACAAACCACTTAGTGGCTGGAACCCTTAAACATGAGGAAAAGAGCATCCTTCTTTTCACTCAGATGGTAACACTTACTGCAAATGCACTAGGGACAGATTAGTGTTCTCTCTTAAATCATCTCCAAATACAAGGTGCATAGTCTCTAGGCAGTTTACAGCTGCCTGGGAATGCCTTGAATCAGGAGTTCCATACAATTTCTTGATTATTCTACTGAACCAATAATTCAAGTCCTTCTGGGCAAAACAGGACATTCCACTGACCACACTCTGGAAGCTATCAATTTTTAGAAACAGCATAGCCCCACTTGCTCTCTACCTTCTAGGAGTCAAGAAGCAGAAATGGACTTTAAAGGGAATGTACTTGTGAATGATCAGTACAGAAACCCATTCTTGACCTGATATTCTGCAGTAGGAAAACCCCATCCATACCATGACAAAGGGTGCATCTGCATGAGACGCTTAATGTGCAGTAGCCTAATAACACAATGTGGTAGCATGCCAGGCAAAAACCATGCTAATACCCTACTGTGCAGTAGTATTAGGCTACTGAGCTGTAAGCATCACACAAAAAAACTTTCACTGGCACTACTGCACAATAACTAATTACTGTGCATATAGTTAGCACTTCATTAAGCAAATACTAAACTAAATGTGCAGTAACTACTGTGAATTAATGAATATGTAGACATGCCCAGCAAATGCTAAATACAGGGCCCCTGACTCAGATGAGCTGTAGTCAAGAACCTCTCCCAGACATCTCTCTTCTTTAGTCATCTATCTCCTTTGCTTTCCTACTAATCTCTATTTCTAGAATAATACCTGAGATCAGACAAGACAGTTAGCCTTATCATAACAGCCCTTCTAGCCTGAGGCATTGCTCTTCACATGTACAAGAGATGCTCATCCATGTTTGGAAACCTGTCAAAAGGACCTACTCGGCCAAAAAAAGAAACATTTCTATATGAGCAGCCACAAATAATGTGAATCTTGTAGAAACCCAAGTTCCAAAGATCCTGGGCTATATCTTGCTCTAAGAATGTAGAATTAACATTTAGCTTGCTACAAGTCCCATTTGGCATCAATATCAACATCTCATGCTTCAATAAAATTCCACAGTAATAAGATGGGATGAAACCACATTGCAAGTTCACTGTGAAGGTGGTACCAGAGCTCTGTTTGAATCAGTCACTTCACCACTTTCCTTCCCCAAAACATATGCTCCTCTTGAAGAAAAGCTACATTCTCTGGATATCTCCAAAGCCCTCATTTAGTGCCTGGTAGAACTAAAGCTTTCAGACTTTACCTGCTTCTTTATGGCTATATAAAATATATCAAAAGGCCAAGAAATCTCATCCCAAATACTTTCACAGTTGGGTACAGCCTGCATTTCTTCTAGTTACCAGCAAGCTGGTGAGTCTTTCTCTGAATGTCAGGGCATGCTTCTCCTGAATACCAGTGACATAGGTGGCCTGCTTCAGAAACTTGCTAATGTGAGCTGCTTGGTCTGCCCTGTTGATAGTCATTAAATGGTTTGCCACTGGTGTGGCTGCCCCAACAGATACTTAAGTTCAGCCATATTGCAGTTCCTGTTTGATCAGTTTTTACCATTCTCCACAGTCTAAGGAGATGCTGCTCACCAGTTAGAGGGATGCAAAGAGGTGCACACTTGACAGAGTAACTGTAGTTCTTGAAGATGGTGTTTGTGTGGATGTCACAACCCATCTTTTATTCCTGTTTAAGGAACCTCAACTCTTTTGGGCTTTGAATGTGAAGGAACTAAGGGAAGGTTGTAGTTGCTCCACCATTATGCTCTGGTACAGAAGACACAAGATGGCTCAGAGTGCATATGTGACCCTGACTAATGCTGCTAGCCATAAGAATCTGCTGGTCTCATACTCAAGGGGGTGCAGTGGCACCTACTGGGGACCCACACTGACTACAGTCTCTTAAACCGTGGTCACTGCAGGGTAAGAAAACGTGGGTAGGTATCTCTGGCAGCATTTAGGCATTACTTTGTTCCTTATATACTCCTGACATTGTAGTTCTCTCCCATTGTGGCTGTTGGGGTCTAAAATGCTATTTTTTTGCTTCCATCTCAGCAGTTCCTCCACTGACTACAAGTACTGTGTCTCCATCTCTTGCCTTGCTGGCCAACAACCTTTCAATGCCCCCAGGCGACTTGCCACCTGGTGCCTCCCCAAGAAAAAAGCCTCGGAAGCAGCAGCATGTGATTTCTACAGAGGAAGGAGACATGATGGAAACAAATAGCACTGACGATGAGAAATCTACTGCCAAAAGTCTTCTGGTGAAGGCAGAGAAACGCAAGTCTCCCCCTAAAGAATATATAGGTAATGATATTCCTGTATCAGTGACTGTGCTCTTCAAACTCAAATGTCCATTTTTCGGATCCCTTCCCTTCCTCCAAAACAGGGTTTTTTGTCCCCTACCTCTAATATAGGAAAAGATGACATTCTTGCTAGAAGTTAAGTTACTGTTTACATTATGCTTTTCAAAATATCTGTTTCTGAAAATTTTACAATAATAACATTTAGAGAAGTCCTTTAACCAGTCTCTGACCCCAAAGAGATGCTTGTTGTCTGGACTCAGATGACAGCTCAGCATATGCTGCTTTCTAATCTTCAGCTTAAACCACTGGCCATGCCAGTCTTCTTTAAACCACAAGTGTTCTTTACTGAGGTGCACGTATTTCTCCTGTTTCTTAGATGAAGAAGGTGTGAGATATGTCCCCGTGCGTCCAAGACCCCCTATCACACTGCTTCGACACTATCGCAACCCATGGAAAGCTGCCTATCACCACTTTCAGAGATACAGTGACGTCAGGGTTAAAGGTCAGCGTACTTATCTACAGCGTAGTATCTCAGTGTTCCTTTTAATAGGATTTCTTATTATTGTTGATAAACTGCATTTGAGTGCCAAGAATTGGTGCTTTAGGCACAGACATCAATGTTCATAAGTAGCTTTACAAGCAGAACTTCTTTTCTGCTGAGAACCATTTGCTGACCACATACATGAAAGGAAAATTTCTTTAAGCTAGCAGTAGTCTTAGTTTCTCTTCATCTGTCTTGTGGGGGGCAGGGGTATTATGCATTCAGTAACTAGCATATAACTCCAGGGGTAGGCAAAATATGGCCTGCAGGCTGGATCTAGCTCATGGAGGAACTTTGTCCAGCTTGTACTGAGTCCCGCAGTCCCACCTGGCCCAAGTGCTGTCTGGCTCATGGCATGTCCTGCCGCCTCTGGGTGTGCAGTGCAGCTGGGGCGGCTCTGTGGCTGGACTGCATTTCTAGGCAGCCCAGATGGTCGTGGCTCCTTCCAGCTGCTGCCACCGCTGGCCCCAGTCCCTTGGTACTGGTGGGGACCTGCATGCACAGTCCCAACCCCAGCCCGCCTTGTGTCCACTGTAGACTTGCCCCAGCCAGAGCGGGCTAGCTCCAAACCAGTCGGAACCCATGGACGCAGCCCTGATCCCAGGCTGCCCCATGCCTTCTCCAGACTGCTCGCTCACACTGAGCAGTGGTAACAGTGGCAGCAGCTGGGCAGAAGCTGGTGCTTGGCATGAGGGAAAAGTGGCCACATCCCCCTCGCCACTGCTGGGCCCTTCTTGCTGCAGCTGCCTGAAGCCCACACCTGAGCTGCCCTGCAGTTCCTCTCCATTGCACACAGTGTAGTTCATTCTTGATCAATATACCATCTTCACTTACTAGGGTACGTGGAGGGAA